ACTTGCTAACGTACCATTCTCCTCATCTTGCCTCTCTGCCTGGAGTTCCTAGCACCCTAGTCTGCCTGAATGGAGAGATGGGCTCTTCCTCAACCTTGCCGGGTCTCCCTCCCATACCCCTTCTGTTTATATTAACACCTGAGATTATGAGCCACGGACAGCAGAAGAACAGAGCTGCATGCTCGTTTATCAGTCCCTCCTTCTGCAGAGCTAGGGAGCTGCTGCAAAAAGACCAGAAAGCAGCTGGAACATACAGCCTCTTCCTTTACCCCAGCATGAATCACTGGAGCTTGTGAGTCAGACCCTCTCTGTTCCCAAAGCTGAGCAAGTTACTGCACGTTCACCGATCCATGGTAACTGGCCACATGCGTGCTCTCAGCCACATGGCAATGGCAACAGCAGTCCATTAGTTTAGCCAGTGGAAATGATCTAGTGAAAACATGCATGTGGACAGATCCTGCAGCACAGCTGACATCTGGTACCTTGTGTGTCTGGGTGTTTATAGAAAACAAAACTGCTACTGTAAGGATATCCTTCTTGTAAACAAATCTTTTGGCTAATGTTTCTACAAGCTCCTTAGAACTGGAGTATTTCCTACGGAGAGAAGACTAAGAACAAATCAAGAGCATATTCACTCAGCACTGTGGACACAGCTCACAGAGAGGTACCTTAGCCAGCAGTGAAGTAGCTGTTTTGGTTGCACTACTGTTGAGTATCTCCGACAGCATGAGCTTTCACGACAAAGCCTGCACCCAGCATCTGCAAGGGACTTTCACATCCCTCACCAAGCTCTGTGTTAATGTGGCAGCAGTCTAAAGCACCCCAGGCTGATAGACTTGGCTAACGTAGCACGCCTGCTTCTGCTACAATCCCACACCACTGGCTTGCGCCCAGGGGCACCTTCCTCCTTAAGACCTCTGGAGTTTCAATTGCAATACCCTTCTGCAAAACCTTTCTACCAAATCCTGACTCATCTGGGAACTGAGGTCAAGCTGGTTCCTACTGAAACATGATATACTCTCTGCAGAGACTCTTCACCTGCTCTCCGAGTAGTTTTCCAGCATTAGCATTTGTCATGGGCAGTTCAAAAGAAAGGCACAATTCCCGTGTTGCCAGCGTTATTAGTGCTGACAAACAACAAAAACCTTAAGCACACGCAATGTTCTCCTCACAGTAAAAATAAGAGAGAATGCCTGGAATTGCTGGGGAATTTAACCAACAAAATGCTTTACATTTCTCTGGGCTTTTCTCCCCAAGTGACCTCATGGAACTACGGATGAAACAGACTGTTTCCAGTCTTACAGTCCTTCCCTTTCCAACTTGCTCCTTGCCTACCCCACTATCAAGGCTTCCTCCAGTCCTTTTGCTTCTCCTCCTGCCTTTGTCCCTCCTAATCTACTGCCACAGCTCTGGCGTTTGCTCGCCCTGTTCTGCTCTGAACTTCTGCACTGGCACTGGTCCATTTGCCCCACTTCCCCAAAGCCTACCCCAAATCTTTCAGAGTGTGAAAGGGCAGCTTCTTTTACACCCACGGTCGCGCCTCAGTGTGAAGTCTTTGATTGCCCCAAGCCATACAGTGTCTGATAAAGTACAATCTTCTCTTGCAGCGAGGAGGTTTGCTTCCAGACCTAAACTTTGCCAGTATTGCGGGAGCATTATATGTTTATTTGTTGGTCTGTTGCTACATTCTGCAGCTCACGCAGTCCCTGCAGGGTGTGCCTTCCACATGTGTTGGGTAGGACACAGTCTGTCTATCTTTCAATGCAGGCTACAAACATCTAAAAGAGAGACCCTGATGGTGCTTCTTCATAGATGGACACCATCTCCCTCTGGAGGCCTTCACAGGCTGTTCCACTGGCTAGATCTGTAGCCGAGGCACTCTAGGACAGCTGCATCACTAGAGGTATAAAAATGTGAGTTTAGGTTAAAGATAGCCCTTGTACTCAGAACAAAGTTAGCACTTCACGTGAGATCAGCAATCCTCTTTTACACATTCACAGAAGCCAAAACAATTGTGTTAAAAGCCGCAGTGGAAGAATCCTCTCCTCCCCTGAGTCTGAGGGACCTCAGGGGAAATCCAGCACCCCCCATGGCAAATCGATGCTCTTTCCTGAAACTACAGTTTCAGCTCTCTCTTCCTCTGAGAGTTTTCTCTGCTGCTCTGATTCACTGGCAGTGAACAGCTTTACTACTGGCAGGGCTGAGGAGATCACCTCTGGAACCTCAGAGTGAGGTTTTTTTCAATGCCAGAGCTGTCCTTGGGCTCTCTACAGAGCACACCATGAAGGCATGTCTAAGGGTAACTTCCCATACAGACACCTATGAACACAAGGGTAGATCAAGACTATCAGAGAGTGTCATAGATGACAAAGTTTGGCCCTCAGCAGCCAGCCACCAGTCAAGGATGCAGTGTGAAGGAAGGCTTTCCACCCTGTTATCATTACCTGAATCTCCCCTGCACTGGCAATCAAACAAATGTTCCTGTCTAGATCTCCTTAAGAGTCTGTGTAAAACTTTTGGAGGTTCCTTTTCTGCCTCCTGGTTTCAGAGGGGTCAGCACACCCCATTTGCATGGAAATACTACAAACTGGGAAAAAACGGAGAACACTAATTCCCTTTGCAGTGCCCTGCCGGTTGCCTGATTTGAGCCAGGGCTGGGTTTTTGCAGCAGCCCGAGCATGCTGGAAAGACAGTCTGAAGTCCAGCCACAAGCTGAAGAAACAGTCCACAGGATAATCTGCTGCCTGGAGTGAGGGTCTGTACACCCGGACTGGGGCATCTGCTCAGAAGTGATTGGGGGAGGAACTCTTATCTTCTAAAAGTCCTTTCAGGGAAACATTGCTGTGATGCTCCTTAGACCACATGGCAATGGTGACCCATGATGGGGAAAGGTGTTCACAGATTCCACCAATCCCAACCAACCAAACCCAAAGCGGGATGTGGTTCAGAGGCACCACAGACAACCAAGTGTCATCCTCTGATGGACCCACAGAGCAAACAATGGGCAACCTCTGCAGCAAGACAAGGCAAATGAGTGACCTGCATCTAAGTAATCTAGTTAGTAATGAATGCAGTAAAAGGCCTGTGTTCATGCTGCGCAAGTCAAACCCAGAGGCTTTTTTTTCAGTTGAGATCCAGACAGGATCAATGCAATCATCCCCAGTTCTGCTCTGGATCCATTAGCAGAGAGAAAGGGGTTTGCACTCTGGCCAAACAGTACAGTTGTGGGATTTATATGTGATAAACACCCCTACAGTGCACCTCAGCAGAAGCCTAGGTCGTCAGCATGAGTAACTACAGGTAAAGGGGCCTTTACATGTTCCCTCTAGAGCAGGGAGCTACTGCAAGGCTTCAGTGTGGCACTAGAAAACAGAGTGTGGTCTGACGGCTCAGCTCATGCCTGGTCCTTTTCCCCACACCCAGACCCAGGGCCCCACCACGGCCCCCGTGGCTCAAGGCAGGTGGTCGCTCCCTCAGCGGTCCCAGTGGGCCTCATCCCCCCGCTGTGCCCAAGCCAGTGCCTCTCAGCCCCACTAACACCTCCATCCTGCTCTCAGTAGAGAAGATGCCCGCAGAGGCGCTGCCCTGTCCTGTCTGCGCCCTTAGGCGGCAGGATCATCCCCTGTCAGACAGCCTCCAGTCCCTGCCGCTCCAGAGCCCCTTCGGCAGAGCCGGTCATCTTCAGGCAGCTGCTGCCTCTGCTTGGTGGTTCCAAGCTCCCTGTCCTGAAGCTATCCCAAAAGCCTCCTCCCGGATCACGCAGCAACAGCGATGTCCTGATGTCATAAGCAGGGACCGCACGCGGGGTCAGCCTGCCGCAGCATCAGCACCTGTTGCCAACCCACCAGCTCTGCCCCAGCGTCCATGCCCTGGGCACAGCAGGGTGGGGGGTCTCTGCCCTCAAAGTGCTGAAAAAAGGTAGGTGCAAATCCTGCCACCAGCGACGCCGGTGCGAAGACAGAATAAACCTGTTCAGGTCAAGGGCACTCATCAGCATCATGGTAGCATGACCAAGAGCAGAATTGCACCCAGGCGAGTGAAGAGCTAAACTGACAGACTCCTGCAGGACCCGGGTTAGCTTGTATCCTGTCTTAACGCTGATAAAACACAAAGTCTGACAGAGTTGCCGCTCTGTCCAAATGCATTGCCAGATAAACCACAGATAAGAAACAGCCAGGGATAATCCCTCCTTGATACCATGGCAGAGAAAGAAATACCACTGTGCTGCATTACCACCAAATCTTCTGTATCTTTCCAAGACAGTTCTCACATTGCCCCAGCCCGTACTCCCCATTTACTCATGAATTGAACTTTTTCAGTTAAAGGCAATCTAAGCATTTTATCCTGGCCACATCTTAAATATTGCCTTGCTCATTTAGCAAGGAACAGTCAGATCTCTGAGGAACAGCCCAATTTTGCTAATAAGCGTATCAGCAAAGGTTTACAGTCCACGTGTTTTTAACTACAGCTCAGTGCAGTTACCTCAAAAAGCGAGGCTATAACTTAAATATGATCCCTGAGAGCTAGTCTGTCCCAAGGAACAGTCCCTGTGATTCTCCAGAATAGTGGCTTTTGATATTTACCTCAGGAAGAAGCACGAAAACAACAACCAAACAGCAAAACACGACACACCAGAACCCCCAGAGAATTAGCGCTAACCCCTTCAATTACCATATCACCATGACAGGAACCGAGTGCTGCTGTTTTTTGAAAGAGTATATGACCCTGAATTCTTGGGGCTTTGGGCATTAAAAAAACCAAAAACCAAACAAACAAAAAACCAACCCCACCAACAAAAAATAACTGAAAAAAAAGAGAATATCAAGAAGAAAGCAGACCTGTAACAGCACGAAATATGAATGAGATGCAGAGATTTGCACACTTGCCTGTCAAACGCTCCCTATCATCTGCACCCTCATGCAACCCACAAGTACCTTCCTGCTGGCTTTCTGGCTTCTCTCTTCTTCCTTTAAGTAAAATTTGTTAAAAATGGGAAGTACCTTTTCCTGGGTCAGGTTCTCTTTCCCCCTTTTTCCCTTCTTTGTTCTTTTTGCTCTTTCCTTTCCCTTTTTTCTTGTTCTCGGACATTCTGCACAAGTGTTTACAGTCTCAGGAAAAGACAGTCCACACCAGATCTATATGCCCCAGGACTGCTACTCCAAATGTTACTTGCCAGCTGCAACTTCCGACTGTTCTTATATTGTTTCTGACACAGACAACACCCACCACTGGGTGGAGAAGCAAAACTTTAACCGTTTGCTCACTGTTCCCAATTGTCTGAAAAGATGCACTGGGTTACAGTGGGAGGGCAAGGGGAGCAGTGCTACAGGATGGGAGTAGCTCTCCCAAAAGTGTCTTGGACATCTGAAGTCTAGAGGTGGTTTTCCGCTTGCTGATTCTCTCTCTGGCTGCAAGTAAGTTCTGATCAGCTTCTGGAGCATCATAGAAATAAGTGTTTTGGGGAACTGCTGAGGTTCAGACCTCAGTGATATGCGAGAGGCAGTGGAGTCTAAAGAAAAGGGCAGAGGTTTGCAACCCATTCTTGTTCTGCTTTGACCCTGCAGAGGGATTAAGTTGGCCTTTCTCCTCGTGTTGTTGTTCCCACCATGAATCACAGCGACTTCACCTGCCCTTGCACCCAGCTCTTTGCTGTCCCAGGAGTTCTTTCCAAAAGCTAGGAATAGCTGGAGAGCCCTTACCTGCACTTCTCTTATCTGTCCTCCATCTCTGGAAGCTCTGGGTGGTTGATTGAGCCCGTGTCTCATCTGCTTTGGGGTTAACAAGGGCCTTTTCCACAGGTCCAACATGTGATGAGTGATTCAGCCCAATCCCCTTCTGAAGTGCAGGCCATGATGACATCGACTCAAAAGTCCATCAGGATCCCCAGCTGGAAAGCCCCAGAGTACTGCCAAATCATTCCCAGATGCAGCTAAGGGCCTCAAAGGCCCAAGGGGGCCATAAGCCATAAGGCACTGGGTAGCACATTCGATACAGTTATCCATGAATCAAATCCAATTCCATGGCTGTGAGTAAAGCATGTCCTCCAGAGAAGCACTCCCGCCTGGTGTATGGACATCAAGAAATGAACGAGCGATCAGCCCCCTTGGGATCTTCTCCCAGTGGTTAATCACCCTCATTGTTAAAAATGTCTGCCTGCTCTGAAGTGGAATATCTGGCTTCACTGTCCAGCCATTGTTTCTTACTCTTGTTTTCTCCTCTAGATTAAAAAGCCCTTCAGCAACTGGTATTTTCTCCCATGGAAGTACTTACACACTGTAATCAAGTTATCCCTCAATCTTTTTTTTTTGATAAGCTAAACAGATCAAGCTTTTTTCCATTGCTTGCTGTATGGCATTTTCTCCAGCTCAGGGATTATATCTGTGGCTATTCCGTTTTGCAATATCCTACTTAAGCTAAGAACACAAAAACCAGGCGCTATTCCATTGTTTCTTGTGTGCAGAGGCAAATACAGAGTCAAAATCCCTACTGCCACCCATTCCCAGCCTTTTAACCCTCAAAAGTCACATTTGGGCATCAGGCTCCACAGGAAAAATCTGTTCCGTTGTGTTTCTACTGCAGCTTCTACTAAGGCCCTGCTCTGCCAGACATATTCCCCTGCTTTCTAACGAGGAGGAATTTCTGCACCTTCACAGTACCACTCTCTGTGGTGAAGCTTCGTTTTGTTTTAGAAGAGCCAGTGTGCCAAGTCACTCACATTACCCTCTTTAGATTCTTTCCTCCCACTGATGCTTGAAACTCCATCAGTCTCTGTGTCACCATGCTAATTTTATGAGCATGTTCACTTCCAGGTTGCTGGTTACAATGATCTTACTAGAAATACTCCACGGAGCAGTGACTGCCTGCCAGCAATGGCTTTCTGGTATGCGCTAGTCAATCGCTTCTTTGCCTGCACGTGAAGTACATTAGAGAACTTGCGACACTTATTTTCCAGTCTGAGCAGAGGACATGACCACACTGAACACTTGTATGCAGCCTCACAAACAGCTGAGAGGTGAACGCTGGCGAGCACCTAAGCAAACTTGCTTTGAACTGTTAGATAAAAGCTACCGAGCCTGCTGATTTGGAGTTTGAGCCTAATAATACACATTGGTTTAACGCCATCCATGGTTTCTTGGTCACCTAGCATAGTGTTTCTTTTCCAAATGCAGGATCATAGTGGTTACTGACCAGTTAGTGTCTTCTAAGTCATTATGAATGACGACTTCCATATGGTTATTTCACTGTTTGTCTCACAACCATATTCCTCTTTGCTAATACGTTTCTGGAGTCCCTTAATTCTGTACTTGAGCTGCACAATTTCCTTCTAGATGTCTTTAGCTTGTTGTCTACACACCGTAACTCCAGATGCACATGGATTGGTACCTAATTTTCTCTTTTCTAAATTTGTTAATCTTATTATTGCCTCCAGTTGTTGCTTTCGTTGCTACCAAGCTAGGATGGGTATTAGCTAAACCTTGTCCTCTTTGTCGACTCTAAAATCTCAACTTTCTTGGCCTCTGCTCAAAGAGCTCCCAGTTCTTATTCACATTTTCCTGTGAATGTTTTAACATCCAATCAGCTTCACTCAGTTTTCCTCAGCCTTGGGAAATCAGTTCCCTTGAATCCTCAGGAGTGTCATATGTAGTTACGATTAGGGCTCTCATCTCATTTCATATGAATGAAAACCCATCATGGCCACTGGCCCCATGTCAACCACCAGTGACTATTTCAGCCATCCAAATCAGTAAGCCAGCACTTACCAGACATGATGAGGCCCAAGCAAAGTTCCCTTGCTTTAGTGCGATAACTTAGTGTCAGATCTACAGAGTTTTGAGAGACTCTGATGTTTTACTGCTAGCGATAGCTCTCTTGCCAGCACGTGCCTCCTGAATGGACATGTCTCATAAAAAACACATTTTCTTCCCTCCTTTCTTTTCTTTGGCAATTTTATTTTATCCTGAAATATCTTTTACCACTGGTTTCTTCACATGAAGGCTGTGGGGTTTTGCCCCCACACCCCATCATTTCTGAAGATAAACTATAGCTCTTCCTCCACTCCAGCAAATCAGTGCCTTTGTTCCTGTTAAAGACAAAGTCTGTGTTTCCTTGGGATAATCTTTCCAAAGTGTTTGTGTTTAGCAGAGGCTTGTTAAAGTTAACAAGTGCAGCTAAGACGATGTCCCACCTTTTTTCGCCCTTTTTTTTCAAATTTATGAACAATCAAAGATTCCCTACAGCTGAACAGTGCTCAGAGGGTGAAGCTGTGCACAACACCACATAGCTCAGCTTCAGCATCAGAAAATGAAAATTACAAAGTATAAGAAGCAGAAGTGTCAGTGTCTGGCTTGGCCCCACTGTCCTTAAACAGCCTGGGACACAGGACGGGAAGAAACAGCAGCAGCAACACCCGATATGGGTATTTTTGTACCTTGGCAGCAATCACAGTCTCACCTGTGACAGACAAGGAATATTACATGTAGATTAATTTTTCTTTTGGCACGTGTACATCTTGTACGCCTTGATACCTTATCCAACTGGCTGGCCCCTGTCCCAGGGCATGGATCCGTCCCTCTAGATCCAGCTTTAGCATCACAGACCTATGGAATATGCTCTTTCCTGAACAATCCTGACATGCAAACACAGGAGCTAAATCCAGCAAGCAACTTCAGTCCTCACGCAGCTACGCTGATATAATAAAACCTACCGATGGGAAGGGTGTTCCAGTTTGGTGTCCCAGTGCCTCACCTGGTGGTCAGCATGTATTTTAATAGCTGTGCTCTCACAAGTCACTTAATACTTCATTCTAAAACAGCTTTTAATGCTTACTTCTTTAAACAGTCTAATGGAGAGTTATAACCTAAAACAGTATCAACCTGTGTTTTTTCTAGTCTTTACAATTCCTGTACAGCTTTAAGCTTAAAAAAAAGAGGCATGTAATTCGATAAGAGACTGAGCCATACCTTAAGCACAGCTAATTCTTGCATGAAATCCAGCATACTGATTTTACAACACATGGCCACACCGCGAGCAGCAGGGTGAGTTTACCAGGTCCTTACCCTCGTTAGAACTTGCCTATATGCCAACCTAACAAATTGAGCTCCTTAATAATCCCCAAGAGGTCAGAACCGAGACCAGGTGAAAGAGAACCTCCCTACCTCTTCTGCCCCACAGTATCCATTGCAGTCAGCAGCTGTAAAATTACCTCTTCAAACAAAAATCCCAGACCAGCTCAGTGGAGAACAGTCTGCAGCTAAGAGTCACACTGCTGCATTGCATTCTGGCTTCTTTTCTGGGAGGATATAAGGCACCAGCCCCATGAAGACCATCAGTGTGTGCTCTCCAGGGGAAAGCTGCGTAGCTTGCAACAGCCAGGTCTGCGTCTGGAAAAAAATTACTAATACAACACACCCTGGCCTGCTGGAGATTAAAACAAAAAGTGCTGACCCATCAATGCTACTTGATACTCACTGAAACCCAGACAGCAAGCCCACTTCAGCTCCTCCAGTCTCCAAATCTCAGAAGCAAAGGCAGGCACACACGCTCCACAAACTTCTGAAGCTGTGTTTCTGGCAGCAATCTTGGGAGCACAATGACCCATTTTAAATTGTGGCATTTTCAAAAGCTTTTGGTATTGGCTTAACTCTGCTCTCACTGACATCACCAGGAGGTGGCCATCAACTTCTGGGGAACCTCCGTGTCACATTGCATGGTCCATCCTAGAACTGTCAACTCCTGTTTAACAGTAAGGTTGACCCAAAATTGGTGGTAGCCAGAAATACTTATGTTATTTCTAGAGAAGTAGGATAAAAGAAGACACAGCAGGACTGTACCTGTCAGCATCCCTTTGGCTTACCAAGGCAATCCAACGGACACCATTTCTCAACGATCCTGTTCCTACAAAACACTGCAGGCTTAACAGAAAGACTACGGCACCACGAAAGCAGCAAAGCTCAGGCTGCTGACCCACCTCGAGCTGGCGATACGCAGAATCCTACCAGCAGGTTCTCCGACACAAAACTACTGAAAATCAGCACAGCCTTCCTGTCATTGCTGTTCAGGCAGCACCTCCAAGACCACAGTAAAAACCAGATCTTGGGGGTTATCTCCACACAACAAACGTCTTGTGACAGAAGAAAAGATGTTGGCACTTGCTGGATCATCAGCTCAACAA